AGCTAATTCTTTCTCTGGAAAATAGGACAGACACTTCACACAAGATTCTCTGTCTACTGTGTAAAGTGGTTAAAAAATGTGTTTCAAATTAAGCTCAGCTGGATGTCTGAGAACATCTTGTCTTATGTTATCTTTACTTAATCCGCACAACGCTTTTGATAAACAATTAATCATCAAGTCATTTTTCACTCAAAGTGCTGCAGAAAATGAGACACTTTATGATGCCACCTCGTGCTCTTGGATACTGTGATTGAGGGCATTTGTCACAGTTTTCTGATGTTTCATAGATGAAACAATGAATCAGTTAATGAATGATAATGAAAATAATAGCTGCAGCCCTAACTTTGATGTGGTTCATACTGTGGCTGTTCTGTTTCCCTGTGTACAGTGGTGATGTTTGTATTACTGGACCTGGGTCAGCTTCGTCTTATCAGCTGCATGTGGTGAAAGAAGGTTGATCTCTCACAGCCCTCTGGGAGGATTTCTCTGATTCCTACTGCAGAAAAAGCTCCTCCTGTCTGCATGGAAATAAAGATTTTTAGATCTGTGTTTTCAACCCGGGGGTGAGGAGATAAGACAGATGATTTATGGGGATGCATAGATAAAAACCCTCGCTACTACACAGACCGTGTATCATTGTACCTCCTCCAGTTCTTCTGAAATACTGAATATTTTCCATGATGAATCAGATGAAACAACATGAAAAGAAAACTATATACTTTAGTTTAAATGCTCATTCTACATTCAGCGTAACTTCAACAAGGCACTAACACTGTCAGGGTTAGAAGTTCAATTCCCTGTTAGTGTCCCCATCGTGTCTCTCTGTCGTCCCTGGATCCAGAGCTCCGGTCAGAGCTGCTGTAAATCAGCTCGGTACTGGATTCCCTGTTGTCAAACTGGTCAAAATAAGAAATAAGTTATTACAGTTGCACAACATGTTTTTTGAGAGAAAATAGAAGGGTGACTGGATAGAGAAAATGACAGAAAGAGTCTAAAGTTTGGGATAATTTGATACCGGATGACTTAATCAATCGTTAGCTGCAGCCGTAGACTGAACCAAACAGTAAAACCAAAAGTACGAGCTGAAACAGGCTGAAAGGCCCCATAAAGCTGAGGGGAACTGCAGAGTTTGTGTTTTGTCAGTACAAGTGACAAAGTCACATTATGCGCATTGCTCTTTCATCCATTGTTGATATAAATATGTTAGCAATATAAAAATATAAAGATATTAGTGTTCATATTAGAGCGTTAGAGCAGGTTGTGATTCAGAGGTCTGGATCCAGTATGAGACAGTTTAAACATGAGTCTCTGTGTCCAGGGTCTGTCTGTCTGTTAATCTTTATTTTCTGCTCTCGTCCACAGAGAGCCTGTGACTCAGTGCTGAAGTGGTTTTAAATGGTTTTAATAAATCGGGTCCTTTGAGCACTGCAGAGCTGCTCCCCCTCTACACACTCCCTCCACTCTGCACTCGCAAGCTGCTCCTGACCTGATAAAAACCTCTGAAATCACCTGCTGAGCTATGTGAGTTTATTTTTTATTTATTCAATAGGTGAAACTGCTGGAGCGTACACCTGTGGCAGATGGAGGTTTTATGTTGTAGAAAATGAACCTTCAAGTTGCAGCAAACACTGAGGTGTGTGTGTTGGAGTTCACCTCTGTTCATGATTGAGTGTACTCTGGAATACTGGAGATTGCAAAATAGCTATTAAATATGTGAGTCAAGAGTTCGGTTTGTGTCTCAGTGGATGTCGGCAGAGAGGCATGTACTGTGTGTTTGTGTTTGTAACTGTACATTAACCTATGTCTATTACGCATATCTGATTAATATATGAAACAAACATAAATGCTATATTTCTGTCATGCTCTCTGCATGGGTTTTCCTCGCTTCAGGTTTTACTGACGCTCTCTAGATTACAGATCCCTGTGCTCATGAGGCCGATAAACAAAAAATGCTTTAGAATGATGATAGCGATTTGTATTTTTTGGGAAGTTGGAGAAAAAGTTAGTTTCCAGACCTGTGCTATAACTCTCATGCTGCTGTGAACATGCTGCTGTCACCGTTGTCTTCTCTAAATGTTAATACTATTAGCATTTATTGGTATGTTTTCATTAGTGTATGATCACCTGAACATAAGAATAGTTGTGTTTTTGTTAGCTTAGAATGAGCTGTTTTTATCTACAGAGGGAAAGGGTCTGAGTCCGCTATATTGAACCGCCATGTTTCTACAGTAGCCCAGAATGGACAAACCAAATACTGTTTTTTAGGCAGGTTTTCTCCAACATGCTTGACAGGCTGAGCTGTATTAAAATGGTTGCAATGTGCAACTTCGCTGCTAGATGGCACTAAATCCTACACACCGGTCCTTTTAGGATACAAATAGACAATAATTATCAGAATTGTTGTTGATTAATCAATTAATTAATTAGAAAAATGTATTAATTCATTAATTCATTTCTCTTCATCATTATTTTCAGCTGTATTTTGCAGTAATTTTAAATAAGATTTATGACTTCATTTCATTTTAAGCCATCAATAAATGTGACTTAGACATACTGAGCTGATAGGGACACTGTGTCTTGCTCAGTGACACTTGAAGAGGTCACACTGTCTTTTGAAGGGAACAGGTCAGTGATATTTCAGTCTTTATGACTGTCGAGCGTCGTCCCTCCTCAACTGCCATGTGTGGTTTGCTGTCCTAACTGCTGCACTGAGCCGCTGTTTGGAGATCTATCCTCTGTCCCTCTCAGCCTCTCTGTTCCTCTTGAACAATGTTGTTGGGATGAACTTCAGTTACCCTCTGAGTTAATGAGTGTCTCGGAGCAGCTGAGCGGTGGGTTTCGGTGACGCTCCGAGGTGCACGAAGGCCGCCTTCTGCTCGGGGTGGCCCGGCCGTCATTTGGCAGGGATCAGCTGCTGTCCCACCGTGGGGATCTGCAGACTGCTTATAGCTGGCTGGTGGTATCTGATATGTTGCTGCTCTGTGGGAGGGACTCTGACTCACTGCTCAGCCTGTACCATTCATTTACATGAAGCTGACAAACAAACCAGCAACAGGAGGCTACAGGTCGGCTCGCTGCAGGTACAAGTTAAGTCCACCAGGTCCAGGTGTGTTATTTATTTATAGGTGGGGTTTTGTCCCTGGCCACAGAGTTGCCATGAGAGATGCAAAGTCGGAGGAGCCACTGGTTCCACAAGTATTTGTCATCACTGCAAATCAACATTTGAAAGATTTCTTTGAACACAGAAATACAGGAGTCTCCTGAGGGATTTAATGATACTATAGGTTACAGCATGGCATCTTGGTTAGGGCGGGGTTCTCCTTTGACTCAATACCCACACTACCTAAGCTCTGAAGCTAATAAATCTATAATTGAATCAGTAATTTGTCTTTCATTAATAGCAAACATCACTGGCAGCAGATTGTATCCGATGTCTCTAATTAATGTTCATTTGTAGGCCAAAATGAAACATTTGGACAAAGTGGTTGAAATCTCTCATTTAACTTTTAAGCACAGAGCACACGAATGAGCTTATCACCCTATAAACTTTAACTAGAAGGCATTCCTGTCAGCTGAACGGCATTAGAAATTGCCAGTCAACATCAACATCACTTTTCCTACATAAAACAACATGTACCAGCAGTTTGTCATCCCCACCATAACTGTCCAACTATGTAGCTGTTATTAATGAGTAAAACACCACTTTTTACTTCAAGATTATATTTCGATATTATTGAACATTGTCCAGTATACCTAATGCAGTGATTCCCAACCTTTTTCCTTAATGGACCCCTTTTCTATCATTAATTAAACTGACACCCCTTACTATGTATTTTAATTTCTGGATATTTTATATTATATTCAACACATAACAATAACAGTACAGAACAACGGACGAACTGTACAATGAACTCAGATAGTGAATACAGTAACTTATGTGTAAAACGAGCAAGTTCAATGAATTTAATTTATTTTTACATTTTTACTACTTTTTAACCTAACTAACTTTGAACTACTTTAACTTTTCAGCAATGTATTTCACAAACTGTTAAGCTACCTAATGTAAGACACTGCTGTAACTCCACTGCCAGCTGTCACACTGCACTCTGCTACATGTGCTGCTTACTTTTTGTCAGTGCTTATATTTGTAAAACTGTTTTCATAGCAGCGCATATCGGAAACGTAAGCACTGCTAAATCGGTCAGGCGCTAGTTTTTAGGGGGGCAGACAGACTGTGACTTGTAGCGGCTGTAGGTCAGATCCAGAAATTGTCTGCAGTACCTTGACACAGAGCAGCTCTGAACTCATGAATGAATCACTCATCGTGCTGTAATTCAGGCCTCAGGCTCCTCCCCTCTGGTCGAAATCAGAGAGGTTTATTGGATTTTATTTTTTCCTGGCTGGGTTTTCTGCCTGACTGAGCAGCTGACTGTACGGCCGAGTGAACAGCTCGTCTGCCTCGCAGGCTGTTCCCGCTCTGCCGTCCTCGGTCGACGAGGTACCACCGAGGGACTCGCCAGTCAAATCTGCCGGAAATCAAACTAACGAGCTCTGACAGGAAGCAACATGCTACCTGCTGGGAACACGGCCAACACTTTCCTGGGTTTCTCTGTGAAACGCCTCACAGACTTTAACCCTCCCGCTGTGCTGTCGACATGGATCTGGTGTTTCCCGTCAGAGGTTTCATCCTGGTAATGAGTCGTCTGTGGTGGAGGACAGTCTGACTGAACTTCAAACCAAAGACCTTAAAACCACAGATCACAGGCCGGGTCCGTGCCTGTCAGCAGTGGTGTGAAGACAGACAACAGATAAAAGCCTGAAACCACTGACATTCAGATCTGTCCAAACCAGAATACGAAGTGAACATTTTCAGGTGTTTCCATGGTGACGTCATTATTCACAAACCTAGAATCAGACCCATTAAACCCCCCAGATTGAACTCTAACCACAGTTTGTGGGGTCAGAAATGAATGGCATTTTTTTTTATTCATGTCCCTCAGGTCAGTTTGACATTATGCCTGTCCGTGTGCTGTCAGAGGGTGCGGTGCCAGGCGGCCAGGTACCAACACACCTCACCAGGATTCCCATCTCGCTCATCAGCACCAGCACTGACTACGCCAACAAAACTGTCAAGGTTTGTTTACAGCCAGCTCGTAATCAGAGAGACTTTTCATTTGTACACAATAAGACTGATAATACTGATATTTCTTGTCAAGACAGAAGCTGTATCTACTGTATCTACTTCATGCATACTAATACGTCTCTGGTCTAACTTTTCACATCTTATATAAGGACCATTACTAGAACAGTGTTCTGTCATTTACAGAATATTGCCATGGGCAGACCTATTTTGTCTCCCAGAGATGCAGAGAAACTTAAGCATGTTTTTAGCACTTGATTTAGTCTAGATTACTGCAACACACTGTTCACATGAGTTACAGCTCAGTCAGAATGATGCTGCCAAACTTTTAACTGGAACAAAGAAAAGAGCTCACATCACTCCTATTTTACAATCCCTGCACTGGCTACTCGTTAGTTTTTGGATACATTTCAGTCTATAACTGTTTATGAACTTACTTACTGCTGATCACCGTACCAACAACTAAGACAAAGACCTGCAACAAAGCTGCTTTCTGTAGTTTTTTAACTCAAACTGTAGATTTCTCTACCTCTGAATCCTGACCTGGTTCTGAGATGTCTATTCCTCAGCACAATGTGTACGTGTATAAATACCAACAACTCACTTAGCGCTGTTTTATTTAAATCACTCTTCCTCATTTGTGCCATGAGGCTGCGCTGGGCAATACCACAAAGATGGGCAAAGCCAATTTAAAGAATAATACCAAACCGTTAAAGTGTTTGTTGTGCTGGTCATTGGCACAAAAATTGAGCCCTTATTGCCTTTTGCTGTTATGGCTGTTTGTGCAAGAGGTAATTGGGGAAAAAACAAACAAAAAACATTCAAAATGTCCTTATAGGAATTCAAATATGCACAGTCACTTTATGGAAAAAATAAGCTGAAAGATGTTTAGCTCAGCCATTTACAGGTACCAAGTCTTTTCTGTGGAGAATTGCATGCATTCCTGTTTTCTTGGCATTTTCCTCCATGATTTTTTGTCTTTATTCACTTTTCATTTATCTGTAACCTGCCACCATCTGTTCACATCCACCTAGTTTCTGTTTTTCTTTATGTGAGACTCTATTGTTGAGTAACTATTGTTCTTGATTAGCACTCTGCAGGAATATATTTATGAAAACCAAAGCAGCAGAATAATCCACCTTCTGTCTCACAGCTCATTTCCCAGAGGCGCTCATCAACGCTGCTCAGTTTTCTGATGTGGCTTTGATCAGTTGACAGACCCTCAGTGAAATTCTGCAGAGCCTCAGTCAGACCTAAATGCTAAATGCTTTTCAGTTTGTCTGTAGGCTTTTAGTGTTTTTTTGTTGTTTTCTTTCCCAGGGAAAAGTGGTTCGAAAAGGTCCACTGGTGTCGTTAGCGGCTGACAACGTCATCCTGAAAGCTGTCATCCAAGGTAACTCTCAACATGTTTTTGTCTGTGTGTGTGTTTGTGTTAGCTGTCCGGTTGTACCTGAATTTGTCCCTGCTGGGTTCTGTGTTATAAATTAGTTTTCAGAGCAGGTTGCTGCGGATGTAAAAGTGAGTTCACTGTAGTTGTACTTTAAAGGGCACTGCTGCTACAAGGAATCCATTCAGCAGCCTGTCACTCACATCGTTTCTTTGTGTACTTGGGTTAGAAGTTTTGAATTCAGTCTTTAAAAGCTCAGCTTATAGTGTTTGATTAATATATATTTTCTAAACTTTTGGGATTATAAAGTGGATTTATCAGTTGCACTGTTGTTACTGTAGCCAACTGTGGGCACTCAGAGCTCTATGATATTACTTCATATTTATACAGAGACCAGACAAAAAAGTAAGCAAGCAAGCAAAGTGGACTACCCTGATCGCTTCGAACTCCCTCCATGGAAAAAGGATTTTAAAAGTTGTTGCTTGTTGTCTTTCGTATTAGTATTAATTCAGACCTTTTACAAATTCCCATCGTGATTAGAGCGACAGCTGAAGATGCCCCACACATTCCTCCTTTAAAGAAGATCAACAATCCAATCCATCTTTAAAGGACCAGTGTAGTGGTGAAGATTGAATGCCTCTGTCGTCTGTATTTGAGGACATGGGAACAAGAACGGGCTGTGAAGTGTGTAGGAGAAACTTTGGTGGCCACCGAAAAAAGGGAAAGTCCCTATATATCCTGTACGTACAGTATGCTAACATTTGCTGCTGTTGGTCAATATTGACACTTTACATGTAGAAGTTTACAAAGATAGATTTCAGCCTGTTTACTGAAAACAGCTAGGAACCTAAAAGAGGCTAAGATGCTTAGTACTGCAGACTTGATGGTGTTTCACTGTATGTGTGTGGATCTATTAGGACTGTATGTGTGTTAAGCTGTTTAGCTGCTCTGTATTGTAGAAACAGACGGAGGCCACTGTCTCATTGTTGTCTTGTCTGTGGCCTTCTTATCTTTGAGCAGGCCAATTGAAAAGCCACAGAAAGCTGAGGCTCTTATTGTGGCGGGGACATGCCTCCATCCATTCATTTAAACTCTGACACCCTGCCTGTGTCTCCAGCAGCAGGATGAGCAGATCCACCTTTCCTGTATTGTTGTTGTCTCTGCGTTTTGGTACAGTCTCTGACCTGCTCGAGCATTGTGGAATTCCTATTTCCGTTTCTTTTGTTGGCGTTGCTAAAGGCTCTGTAGAGATGGATTCAGACTGTGTTCGTGCTGATGTGTTTCCTAATTTAGTCCATTTTGTTCAGACTGATGAGAACACCTGTGTTTTGTCTGTGGTCAGAACACAACACACATAGTTCCCATATTATGTTTGAGTAAAGGATATGTGAAGGACCTATGTGTTATAGCTCGGTTAGAATAGATGTCACATTTCATTTGAAATTTGAACTTCTGTTCGGTTTGGGAGAAAATCGATAATTCAAACTGGAATGATCTGACTAAATTCGGACTCCTCAATGTTTAATTGCAACATGCTGTGTCTTGTACTCCACTGTCACTCTCATTCTCACTCTGTTGATGTCCTATTGTCCAGTAAACAAGACTGTGTGTTATTCTCTGTTACCACAAAATGCAGAAAACTAGCGAGCTGTGCTGAACAGATAAGCATGACACTAAGCCATCTGAGAAGTAATGTGTGGAAGCATTTTGCATTCAACAGCACAGATGCCAAAATGCAACTGATTTACTGCTCTGTTAATCAGTCACTACAGTGAGGCATTGGAGGCACCTCTAATGAACAGAACCACATCAATTTTACAAACAAATTACATTCACTTCTCATTCATTGGAAGTGACAGCCCTAACAGCCCTGGTGTAAAACCTGGTGTTTGACACTCTTCATTACGGCCAGAACAGCCCACAAAATGCACAGAATAGGCAACACTCTGTAACAAAAATGTGTAAATACAAAAATAAAAAATAAAATACAAGCGTTAAATGAGCTAGGGACTTTAATTATTGGTTTTCCTATGTACCACATAATTTGACTGTTGTTACTTTAGGACAAAGCAAGATAGATGTGGTTATCATCTGAATAATTATAACCAGTTGTTTTTTACAACAAGCCTAATGGAAACACTGGATGTATAGTTGTAATGTGAGACAAAGTAATTCCTGTCCTGGAGATTGTAACCACTTTAGAACAGTGTCTGAAAGTTCAACCTAGTTTTCAAAGGGTCACTTCATAAGGTTTCATAGCCTCAACCTGAGTTCTCTGTCTTTGTGACTTAATGTTTGAAAAATCATGATTACAAATATCTATCTGTCATAAATGACAGAGATCATCACCTGAACACCTCATCATCCTGATCTGAATGTTGAATCCTCCATCTATACTCTCATTTTAAAAACTTGTTCTGTGTCTTGTTTCGCAGAAGAAGATTGCCAACCAAACACGTCGTCTCAGCACCCATCCATTAATGTCGTATTGTTGGGAGCGCTGGCCAAGGACTTCAGTCTAGCTGTCAATCAAGGGGTAGGTGCACTCTGTCATCAAAGATATGATTCAAACAGAGAAAAAAAGAGATAAAGAATATTTTCACAGTTTAATATAAATACCCACCATATTATAAGCACTGCTGATAACTCCTCAGGGTTTCCTGCTGTCCTGGAAAACTGAGAAAGTGCAAACTAACATTTTGTAAGCAAAGAGACATTCAGATTTTTCAGTCCTGATACATGAATCATTTATCATATGAATCTATATTTAGTGTGTGCAGACATGCTGATGTGATAAAGTGTGGATGGAGATGGAGATGGTGATGATGTTCGTGTACAGACCAGTGATGTCTTGCTGCTGAATCTAATTTACAGTTTGAGTTATTTTCTGTTTCCTTTTCTCTCCTTTGTGTCACCTGAGTGTTAACAAACCCTGGTAGTGTGTCTGTTCCCTTGTAAAAATCACACCTTTGCACACAACTCCAACTTTATTTGGATGTCTCATAATTAGAACTGCCTCTGACTAAAGATTTTCCTAGTCGACTAGTAGTCGATAAATAAAGCCAGTAGTTGTAGTTGTCACACGTTTATGATATTACCTAAATTATTTAAATATATATTTATTGAAACAGCCTCTTGTCAAATGATACCAGAAAAAGCGGTAGTCAATCTAAACGTGTCAGAATAACCAGCAAGGAGACTGAACAGATTTATTTCAACACAGTAAAACATCACACAAGTCTTGTTGTTCAAAATCATGATATGATGGATGATGTATAATGTTAACAGTTATTTACAAATCCAAAAAAACCCCAGAGTCATAATAGTCCTGCTTGGAGCCGCTGGAAGTCAGATGGCCTCTGTTGGTCCCTTTCAAGTTCTGTCGCTCATTCGGCATTCCCCACTGGCAAGGCTTTTACACTAGTAAGTCCCCCCCTTCCTTCGAGCTCCTAGTCCAAGTATAGTCAACTTATAGGACCGCTAACTAGCTAGTGGCAGCAGCTAGTACAGTTAAGTTAGCATATGCAACAGTGCACCGGTAAGTAACTCCACTTTGTTACAAGAGAAAAGGCCTGTGTTGCAATGATCCCCTGATACTCTCAATCCGGTGACAAGGCACAGCCTGTCTGTTTAATATAAAGTAATTAAGTATATTTTAATAATTTAATAAGTCTCACCGTTTTCTGATCTGCTCCAGTTTTAAATTGATACTCAACACTTTTCATCATGCCATCTTAATAAATTCAGGATAATGTCCATTTCTAGTCCTTTCATTCTTACACTTAAAAAACTAATAATAGTGGCTGAAAATAATAAGTTAATGAAAAGTGTATTAATGTTATAAAGAGAGCAGTGTGCTGACATGACTCATGACATGACTTGTACTGATGGATGAATTAGTTATATGTGTGAGCGAAATCTTCCTTCTTTAGGTTAATAGTAGTATGACACAGTGGTTCCCCAGGCCAACATTGGATCACTTACAAACCTAGAAGCAGACAGTGATGACCTGTCCCTGTCAGAGCAGTATTCTGCTTCCTCTGTGTCTCAGGGCCAACCAGTGCAGCTATTCTGATGAGGCAGTCTGTCTTCCAGAGAGACCAAGGCCATAGATAGATAGTTTGTGCTTTACCTTCCACCAAACAGGATTAGAGTAAAGGGCATGTGACCGGAGTGATAATGCAACGTTACATTTGGTTAACTCAGGAAAGGCATTGTCGGCAAAATCTAAATTAAACACTCCTCAACAACTATCCTTCAGAACTGGAGTGGTTTTGCACAGTGGTTCACCTGGAGTGTTTCTCCACTTTTAGTGAATGCTTCTGCTTGAAACATCTCTTTTCCTTCACAATAAGGAAATTATACTGAATTCACTATGCTTGACATTAGGGATGTCACGATCAAGTTTTTTTAGCCCCCAATCTGATCAGTCATTAATTATTGATTATCTGCTGATACTGAGTCCTAATCCAATACTGTTTTTTTTTATTATTTTTTTATTATTCAGTGCCCAGTGCAGACTTCAGTTACATTAGGGTTATTAAAATCAATCCAATGCTCGACAATGCATTGCATTAAGAAACAAAATGCCTGCATCAAAGCTGTTCCTTAATGTTTTGTTTTTTGTACACAATAAAATATAAAACAGCCTAACAAGATCTCTGTAATCTTTTTGGTCTTGTTGCTGTCTGAAGGGAGTTTCTCTCTCCAGAGTTGCCTGAATGAACTGTATTTTGCTAAGTGTTTATTTCCATTGTCTCTACATCTTTTGCTCAGATTACATTAATTACTCTTATTGGCTTTTTGTTCCCGGGACGTTTCTTGCACTTGCAGCTGTGTTGGATATCTACTGCTCTCTCCTCCTGCTCTCTCTCACACACACACACAGAGCAGAATGGAGGAAAAGAAACAGCGAGAGAGTTGATAAACAGCTGTGTAACAGCTGAAGTAAAACAAAAGATTGGATCGGATGGATAAAGCTCAGTATAGCCAATACCGATCGTTGAAATCAGATCGGGACATCCCTACTTGACGTTATAGGGTATGTAAACCTTCAGAAAGTTACAGAAATGGTCAGACAGATTTATCTGATATGGTGATAAATGTGAGTAGAGAAAGTTTCCTTGTCAGATGGAGAGTTTGGAAGTTATTTTCTTGAGGCTGGGTCCTTTAAGCCTCAGAGGGTTGAGTGAAGACAGACAGTGAAGAACAGTTTGAAAGCCTTTTTATAATGAATATTCATGTGATGCTGATGAGAGTGCATTATGTTATTTTCATTAAAAACTAGGCTTGGATATGGATATGAGGGTGTGTCTGTGGAAATTGTCTTTTTCTGGATCATAAAACCTGTGATTTGAATAAAGTAATGAGCTCAGTGATACATGTGAAGTGTTAAAGGAATATGACATTAATCTGTAGGATGAGATGAATTAATTTACATATTGTATGTTTGAAGAAATGTGTGCTGAGCTGTGTAAAGCCTGCGATGGTTTGCAGTAATTGAATATCCTGTGCTTTGAAAAAATAAAGGGGAAGCATACATACCACTAGCTTATTTAGATTATGTTAACTACTTTATTTGAAGGTAGATATGGACTATAGCCTGAGCTGTGATAAAGTGAATTATCCTTTCACTTAAAACGGATAATGAGACGGATTTGTCTGTTGCTGTTTGTAAACACACAATTCAAATTTGGCCCCTCCTCCCAAGCTAAACGAGCTAGGGAAAGTAGTGGTCGTCGAGCGAGCTAGAGGGTGAATGAAGAGAGGGAGCGGCGTTAGCAAAAACAAGGCAGTGAATTAAAGAAAAGTATGTTTGTAATGTTATTTTCTAATTGTATCACACATTCTAAAGCACAAATAAACACAGACACAGTCATTGCCATTGCCACGTTTCATCCTGTTCAGTTCGGCTGCTCTGTGTGTGTAGTTTAGTCCCGCCGTCGGTCAAACAGACACACAGAGCGTTGCTATGTTTTAAGTCCCCACCTTACACCATGCACGTTGTCCAAAGGTCGATCCAGAAATGTCCTGAACTAATAAGAAAATACAGACAGAGGGCAGTGTCTCTGCAGATATAGACAACGCCACACACTTGTAGTGGGTCATGAGTTATGATTGAGAGGGATTATTTTTATATACATTGTTTTTTTAATAAAATCCTACTCAGTATGCCTCTAAGATAAGATAATTATTTATTGATACCCCAGAGGGGAGATTTGGGCAATACAGTAGCACAAGGACAGAAAAAAATACAGATGAATAGAGAACTTAACAAATAAATAGGTAGACAGCATATGTATTAAGTTACTACTAATGCATTTCCTAATGCTGCTGTTTCAAGTGCTGGTGAAACACGAGGTGGCTTTTATTGTGAAGCAGCCACAAGAAGCACCGTGTATTTGTCACCAGTAGCTCCTCTACTCTCTCTGACAGAGTAGCTGCCGATTAAGTTATTTCCGCCACCAGAGTTCTGGGACTAGTATGAACCAACACTTGCTGTTACCACGGTAACCACAAAAGCTGCCAAATCAACAAGGGCTGAAATCTTAAGGATTACAACTTTAACGTTTCCTTCAAAGGGCCGATGATTGGGCTCTGGTGTGACAGTTCACCTCCTGCAGCTCCCTTGAACTGTGCAAACAAAGTGAGTCTGAATCATCATTGCCACAACTCGTTGTGCCGGTTAACTCACGGTTAGTCTGTCACATCTGTACACATCTGTACACATCTGTATACAGCAGCAGCAGTGATGTTGTTTACAGAGCAGTTCATCTGTTTTTGACCTGGACGGGGACAGTGAACACATCAGGGATAATCCTTCTGTCAGCAATATCTCACTGTGTCTTTGGTTTTGGTACAGCGACGTCTTGATGGAACTCAAAGCGCCATAAAGCTTGGTGAAGTCAGGAAGTCATCACAGCCTGAGCCGCTGTGCTCCGCTGTAGATCACAGAGTTCTTGTCAGGCTATGTGTCTCTGTAACATGATTATTTAGACTATCTGCTGTCCCTTTGGCAGCCCTGAGTGGAGGCTTTACAGCCGTCTTGGGGGCAGCTGACACGCCAAACAAAAGACAATCTCCACATTTCACACCAGCTTATCATCGGCAGCTTGTTGCGACGTCTTACTTAATGTCTCACAGGATGCTACATCTGCTGCTTCAATCTGTCCTCCCTCTGGGAAAAGGATGTATATTTATCTCTCTCTGCTCTCTCCGTCTAATCCCTGATTTCTTTGCTTGTTGTTGTTTATCTTGTGTTTTCCTGCAGGATGCGGTGGTGGCCTCTGGCTTCACTGTGGGCAAATCCCCCACAGTTCATAAGGACAAGTTGCACCCCTTTAACCTGCTGCTGTCAGGAGACAACGCCTGTATTTATGTGAGGACTTTTATAAATCGAAGTAATATGCACTGTATGTATGTAGGCGTATATAAATCTCTTTAATGTCTTTCACAGTTCATTTGCTCTATGGTTGCTCTCACACTTTACCTCTTTAATGTGAGTAAAACAAACTGCTGCATTTGGCTGCAGTTCCTTGGAGCTGGTGTGAAAGCTGTCAATCAAACGCTGGCCTGATTATACCCGGCATTAAAATGCATTTCCACACACGTCTCGAGTGACCTCTTGTGATCGGATCTCACTTCCCCGCTCTATGTGCAAATATACACTATACGATGGTACCCTACTCAGAATTTTGTCAGTCAGTGGTCATTATTACTGTCCATTTGGCTGGTCAATATAAAGATTAAATTATTAATATCTTTTTTTTTTCAGTTCAGCACCACACTGAACTCCTAGCCTGAGTTTCTGTGAGCAGCCCTGCAGGAGAGACCTATATATGAGAACTACATGCAGGACACACACTTTTATTTTCTCTGACTGCGTTCTCACATCACAAATGATGAAGAAAGGCGTTAATGCCAGAGTCAGAGAAAGTAAAAGTGTGAGTCTTGCTCGCACCACATAAGGTCTCTCTTGCTGGGCCGGCTGCTGACAGGCTGTCACCCAAAGAGCCACTCACAGTGGACGGCAGTAGAGGAGGTTGTTCCACCGTCTAACCCTAAAGATTTGTGATCGAATCTCTCGCTCTGTATACAAATAAACACATCAATCATTCCTGTTTGCAAAGACAAAATGCGTTGTTGTTTTAAACTGCTGCACAAAGAAAGAAATAACTTAATGTATAATATTTGCCGGATTTAAAAAAAGTCCCAAATAATCAACAACTAGTTCATCACTTGAAACAATGTCTTCTCAAACATCTGCTGCTTATCTTGGTAAGATAGCCCAAACACATAATTTGCATTACAGTGAACCAGATACACAGTGTGTTTTGTGTTTACTTACTGGACGTCAATTAATAGGCGGTTCTTAAATTACACATATGTGATATGTGGTCCAATGTGTCCCAACACTGAAGACCATTGTCAGTTTATATAGTGTAACCAAATGTGGAAGTGTCTTAAACCTGCATTCTATGTAAAGGCCAGCAGCGGGAGCTCCATTGGCTGCAATCAAAAACACTACCATACACTCTAATGGAGAAATAACCTGACTTGTCACTTGATTTATTAACAATGTCACGATAGGTTCAACACTTGCCCAAGACGCATGTTAATACCGGGTGTAAACAAGCTCTGTTGTGAATCAAACAACAAGGACGAGACCCTACTTTTCAAGCAGTCTCTGTCCCCTTCCAAGCCAACTCTTGTGTGGTTCATGTGTGGTCTGAAAGCAAACGGACCAACCACAGTATTCTGTAATAGAAGATGAGATTTTAGCATGAATTCAAAAGCATCATCCAAACACTCTGTGCACACTTTGCAAAACACAATATCACGCACATACACACAAAAGCCAAACAAAGGCTTGTAGTCAACTGCACAATTTAAAAATCATTTGGTGCCTAATCTCTGACACCCAGAATCATGATCAAGTGACCCTCAGTGAGGTCATGACCCCAAGTACACCGGTCTGTCTGTCTGTCTGTCTGAATTCAGTCTGCAGGGTCTTATAGTGTTAGAGCGTGCGCTCTTCTGTGTGAGCTTTTAAATTGAACGTGACTCATCGGTCGTTTCTCGCTCTACGTCATTGTCAAACAGACATAACAAAAACAACAACACCTGGAGACGTGTCTCTGTTTACCCGCTGATGAATTTCACATCCTTCACATGTTTTACATGATAGCAGGCTCAGCCATCACTAGATTAACAAACACGACAGGGTTGCTCAGAACAGACACGCTGTTAACCAAATGTCACTATTTCAAAACCTTATTTCCAGTATATATCAAATATTTACTCATTAAAAAAAGCATGCATTCATTAGCCAATCACACACTGCCTCACCACTTTTGGCTTAACAACCAAGTTGAGTCAGTTTCAAACTCTTTTTTTCGGACTAGTCTGATGCATGGGAAAACACAGTCCCATCCTCCGGGTCCTGATGAGGTGAAGGGAAAATACAGTCCCGTCTGTGTCTGTGCACTTCTAGGCATTACTATAATTTTTACCCAAGTTTGGGACGTGATCTGCGGACACACATTGTTGTGTTCTTAATACATGTTATAAAACCTTGTGATTTACAGCTTCTTATATTCACACGTATGCACTCACTAGGACACACATCCTTTAACTGTAATTTACTGAGTATTTTACTTTATTTTTACAGTTCACTCAGTTTTTAATTTACGACATTTACAACACTTTATAGATATTATTTCACTCTTCCTTTCATTTTTAATTCAGTGTGTCTGCTGTGGTGGCTGTAACGTCTCCTCTCTGTCTTTGTCCTTCAGGTGTCCCGACTGCCACCTCCTCCTGACCCCAGATCCCCACCGGCCGTCAAGAGGAGCTCTCCACTCTCCGCTGAGGTCAGAGTCAGAAGCCTAGTTAGCTGAAGAGGCTGCTGGAGTGTGTTGTGGAGGTCTTGTATTTGTCAGGATGCTTCATGTCAGCTGCTGGCTGTCCCCGAGTCACCTCGGCTGGATCAGGGTCTCACCAGACCTTTGTGTCTCTGTGGTGGCGATGATGTGGCAATGAGGATTGTTAATGCTTTGTGCGAGTGTCTTTAAACCTCACAGCTTTCAGTAACTTCTTGATCTCATTATTTTTATGAATTACAACCACAAAAACTTTCAAACATTAAGAAATCAGTGGACAAAACTTCACAAGGGCAGAACAAGGCTAGAACAAGAAAAGAAATCGACTGTGAAAAAGAAATCTGATATTTTGACAGACACATTTCTGTGACCAGTATACTTGTCTGGTAAGTGTCTACAGACTATTTTTGACTGTTCAGCTTGTTTCTTTTTGTCACACATGACCTTTTGTCATAACCCGTTATGACATTTTGTGTTTTTATTACAACTTTTTGTAATAGGACAACTATTTATAATGCAATACATAATTTTTTTCAAAGTAAAAAAATCAAGCCCAATCACTACCAGACAAATATTTAAAAAATCGCTTTGAAGTACTTTAATAATTTAATGTGTGCACACAACTCCCTTAAATCTGAAATTCAATCAAGGATTGTACATTTGCTTTAAATGTATATAAATTTATATCTCCTTGCTGTTTGTTTTGACGTGTGTACTTTGGTCACATTGTGATTTCCAAAAAAAAGAAAATCTAATTTTCTGTAGTAAATTAATGTTATTTAGCAGGTGTTGAATGCTGTACAGGGACAGATCTCCTCCTCAGTGAATGTTAAGTAAAATTGCAAAAAGTAACGTCTTTCATGATTAAAGTGCATCTGACTGTCAGCCTGCAGAGGCACATGGGAACGAATATAGAAGTCAGCTCCCAACTCCAGGTAAAGTTACTGCAGAGATAATCTGCTGGCTGCTGCCAGTGTTAAAGATACGATAATATAATAAAAAACATACATACAAGCTGCTGTACAACCACAGCCAATCAAATATTAAGCCAGTGACAGATGAATAAAGCAGAGTAACAGTGAGGTAGAGCTATGATAAACACTTTTAAAACAGAATAAATCAACAGACAGAATTACACATACACAATAAAAATAAATGAACGAGATTAAATGTATTCAGAAGCCAGTGATCTAAGTTTAAAGCCGATTCGAGTTTGATCTGTACTGTCGAACAAAAGCTGGTGAAAATAAATGTTGGACAGACTGCTTTTGTCTGGGTTTTTCTTTTATGAGCATATGCTCATTTTTCAGATCATTATTATCCTCCTGTGAAAATCACATGTGACTGAAGAAATGTTGAAAGAGATGCAGGGAATTAAAAACTGTCAGGCTCTCTGATCGGTCGTTTCCTAAGCTTTTAACAATTGTCAGAAATGGCATTTGTTTAGTTAAATGCCAAGACTAGAAAATCTGTCAATCTCAGAAGACTTGATGATTAGTTTTTTACTTTTGAAACATCTGTTCTGTCCTCAGTTTTCCATTATCATAGTCTGCAGTGATGATACAGAGATGATGATGACCACACAGTTAGCATGTTGTCATAACCCAGTTACTCACATAGTTTTAACATTGTGAAAATGGATGTGACAGCAACACTTTATCTAGTCTTTATTTAAATATTTTCCATTTTTCATTGCTGCAGAATATCATGTAGGATTAGTCTTGTAATCAAATACTGAACATACTTTGTGATCACAGTATGTCTACAGGATGGAAACATGAAAGAGGAGAGAAAGATGAGTGAATCTTTGTTATATTATATCTGAAGCTTGAGGTTTGCCCAAACTGTAAAACTCTCTCCAGGAAGTTGTGATTAACACAAATTCAGCCGATCCCTGTGAATTCTGCATTTTTCTTCCCAATCACCTCAACTTTTATGCAAATTTAAGTAATCAGTTTCCCATGAGTTTCACCAAGCATAGCATTCCCTCGCGCAAAACATTGAGTCATACGTCACTAAACTACTAGTGAGTTTATTCTCACCGGAACAAGTTGCCTTAAATCTTTAATGTGTTATACAAAAAAATGCAACTATGATTGAAATTTTCACTTTCCCCCGCAACTGCATTGCAAGAAATTGGCTAAAAACATCACAACATGCATCTCAGTTGTTTAGAAAAGGTGCTGTAAAATCAGGCATTTTGGGTGGCATCAATCCCCAAAAAAACCTGTCCTACATCTAATCCCTTCACCTGTATGTATGTGTGTGTGTGTGAAATAATTTTAGTTTTTAAAAAGTCCAAATGGTTGCATTTTGTACCACAGTTGGCTTCCAAACTAGTGTGATGTCATAAAGTCATGCTAACATTAAATCTCATGTTAAACTGCTGTAATGTGAGCATTGTTAGCGGCAATGTCGTTAGCTTTATCCACACGTGGTTGTTTTACAGTAAAGTCCTACCACTGCCGTCACATTAAAACAGTAATTATGAAACCCGTGCAGGAAGTGATGTGTTAGTATCAACAGCTTAATCTTGAGCTCACAGCAGCAGATGAACAGAGCAGCAGAGAAAGCAGTTGGGCTCCTGCTGTGACAATGTGTTGGTGAATAATGATAAATTAGGTTATATTGTGCACAGGGGAATGATGAGGGGCTACATCTGAATCAATGTAGTGGAAACTATGTAAATATTTACAGGCATTTTTTAACACATTAGCTACTAAATCTGTTAATTGAGTAGTTTGCAAAAGCGTCCTCTCATCAGTATAATGACAGGGATGTTGTCAAATTGTAGCAGTTTGCCAGTTAAAGTGTTTTACCATTTTTAAACTTAAACTTTTACGACCTTTGGAAATATCTCAACAGTATCTTACACTGAACCCTGCAGTATCTTCCCACGCGCCTACTACCTCTCAGTAGGTGTGTGGGAAGGACTGAAAATGTTATTAACTTTGGTGAAAAGCATCCAAATAAACGTAATCTAATGTAATGCACGTCAATGTGGTTCTGGTTTTCTGCTGGTACTTCTTTTTAACTCTTTTTCTACTCTTTTTGTTTTTCCTCCACAGGCTTCCAGGACAACCAAGGCTCCAAAATACACGTACGTCCGACTGGGTGACCTGAAGGCTGGATCTGTAGTGAACGTGTACGGAGTGGTGGTCTTCTTCAAACAGCCATTCAAGAGCCGCGGCACAGGTCAGTCTGGAATGATGACCAAATGATGGACAGTAAATATATGTTTCTCAAGTGTAGTGTGTTCGCATGAGTCCACAACCATGCTAGCTGCACTGTCAGACTGTACTTACTAAAAGCTAATGTCAGAATGCTAACATGCTCACAGTGACAATGCTAAGTGATTTTAGCAGGTATAATGTTTACCATGTTAACCATCTTAGTTTAGCATGCTATCATTTGCTAATTAGCCCCAAACACAAAGTACAGCTGATGGATATGTCGTTAGTCCAACAGTTTTTGAGATATTTCAGTTTGGATGGAAGTGGTGGACCGACTAAACAACATTGCCATCCCTAGAGCCATGGTGCTAGAATGACCGAAAATATTTATGTCTGTACACTTATCTGGTATGTATGAGTGTCAGGACCACTGCTGAGGTCTCAAGGATATAGTCAAAGTAATATTATGAGGAAAAAAAATCAGTGTTATAAATAGGGCTGAATAGAACATTATATATTAAACAATTGTAACTTGAAATTTATCGGTATCTAAACTGTAACAACTCTGTCCTATGGAGCACATGCAGAGACGTTAAGATGCTCAGCAGCTGTGTTTAATACTTTTTAGAGACGTGTTTTAAAATGTAAGAAAGGAAGCGTTTTTGGTAAACGAGACCTGAGTACATAAACCTCATCACCTCCTCTGAGACAGAATGGAGCTGACAGACAGAAAAGAAGTGAAAATCTTTCATGAAGTGATAAAAGCTGGATCACTGCTAAGTGAGAGCAGAGGATTTTTTTAGATGGAAATGTCTCTGATTATTCCTATAACACACTCAGAAAGGTGTGGAGAGGAGTGGGGTGGCAAAATATATTTTAAGTTTATGTGTTGATAGTCTTATAAAGGATGTCTGGGCTTGAGCAGGCTGCTCAAAAAGCTTTAAAGACTTCAGTACTCGTCAGCATCACAGGAAGCTGCATTAATCTAATCCACTGAACCTCTGGAACAATGTTTAGTCATTTACTTAATTTCCCTGTTAACACACTACAGCTGATATCATCATGAAGTGCAGAAAACACAGTTGTGTCAGAATTAAAATAGGAGAGCAATGGTAATAATGTTGATACAACAAACACCAGGCCACTCAGTCTGAGTTGACCTGCAGCCATGCAGCACATGATGATTGTGTGTGTTTGTGTGTGTTTTGGGAAA